AATATAGATGTGTATGTGTGTAATAAACACGCTCACACCCTGACAATTGTTATAGTTGTACAACGTTTCCCATGTAAAATATAGATGTGTATGTGTGTAATAAACACGCTCACACCTTGACAATTGTTATAGTAGTACAACGTTTCCCATGTAAAATATAGATGTAAATGTGTATATGTGTGTGTAATAAACACGCTCACATCCTGACAATTGTTATAGTAGTACAACGTTTCCCATGTAAAATATAGATGTAAATGTGTATATGTGTGTAATAAACACGCTCACATCCTGACAATTGTTATAGTAGTACAACGTTTCCCATGTAAAATATAGATGTCTATGTGTGTAATACGTCTAAAAATAAAATATATTTCTGTAAACGTATACCATCTAATTTCAATCTACTGGAAAATTTCAAGCCTAAATATACACATTTTTATAGTGGTGTTTAGCACGTGATTGTAGCGTGTTTAGTTCAGAAATGAGAAGGAAAAAAAAGACCGAAACTAACATATCTTTGAACAGGTTAAAAAAATAAAAAAGACAGTAAAATATTTAAGAATCACTGAAGGTGTGAACCATTCTTTAAATAAAAACTATTGACATTTTCTTCAATACCTTATTGACTTCTAGTACTATTTTTAGTGCATATATAAAAAACTAATTTTTTTTTTTACTTTGGTTCAGATTTTACGTTTGTCTTTAAATTATTCTCATACAGAGTATTATAAAGCTTACTATTTTATCACCCTCTACCATGTTAATATGCTTCGTATGATGAAGGAACCATAAGAAAAGCAAACAATTTCTTATCAAATCAACACACCGAATACCCGGATTGTGAAGATAGTTTCTAGGAAAACGAGCAGATGGCGCTTTAAAACGAACGTAGAGTTTTTTTTTTTACAAGAACTTGTTTGTTTTTTTTTTTAATTAAGCACAAAGCTACACAATGGGCTATCTGTGCTCTGTCGACCACGGGTATCGAAACCCGGATTCTAGCGTTGTAAGTCCGCAGACATATCGCTGTGCCACTGGGGGCTTTACAAGAACTAGTGAGACTGTATTTCACATTTTACGGCTTCATAAAATACACGAATATTACATTGTTGAGTGTATAAGCTACAAACACTACTAGTAATTCTCTCTGTTTTCTGTTCAGTTCATGTCACTAAAAACTCGAGAGTTTTAAGCTTTAAACGTAGGAGACTTTCTTTAATCCCTGAATATATATAAATAAATAAAAATGTTGGTGTAGTTTTGAACACAAACCCAAGATGCTCATAAATTATAATTATCAAAATGTACCATAAAATACTGAGAAAATCGTACAGCTCTTTTTTGGTGTAATTACCAAAAGTACGAGAACAAATATAGATGTATTAGGATATTGGCGCAAAGCTAGGCAAGGACTATCTTTGTTAGCCGTCCCTAATTTGGAACTGATTAGGATATTGGCGCAAAGCTAGGCAAGGACTATCTTTGTTAGCCGTCCCTAATTTGGAACTGACAGAGTAAAGAAAAGGTAGCTAGTTAAAAGCGCCAATCTTCAACTTTTGGGCTACTGTAGTTAAATAGTAGAATTTGACTCTTACTTTTATAACGCATCAACGGCCCCAAAATAAGAAAAGCTATCTTTTTCTTTTTTGCAGCAATGAGCCGCGAACCTTGGATCCTCTGTTCTACATTAGGTACTTTAACTACTATGACACGTTTAAATTCATAATTAGCACAAAAAAAACTGTCCTTTTTACGATACGTAACAATTAAATATTCTATTCAAGATCAGGTATAACGTTATATACTGACGAAAGTAAAAGAGACTGCCATTTTTATCTTTACAATAAATAATGATACAGTAACTAATCATTACAAGTTTTATACAGAGATACGTCTTCTTAGTTCGTGTTAATAACAACAAATCTGTTTAAAAACAAACTTGCGGACAGTTTTTTTAATACCTCACGAATACATATACATATACGAAACGCTACGTTTCCATTGGAACTTTGTAATCCGAATTTCTAACCAACGTTATATCCTAACCGGAAGAATGTATTGGTACACTTTGATATTTCTGGTGTAACAAGCACTTTGTACATCAGATACAAGACTTCAAAACTTTTTTACACAAAAGGTTGCCCATTCAGTAAGTTATTGAGTAGCTCATACTAATCCCAGTTCTATTTACTGTCCTCTTGAGATTGGTCAAGTATTATACGCACTGCTAGTTGGCAAAGAAAGAAAATTAAAGGACATTTCATGATGAAAGTTTCGAAACGTTTGAGTGCTTGTGGAATATTCCCACAGGCAGATAATTTAGTCACACGTAGTAGACATCGTTGGATTGGAATACAGAGTTTTATATGCAATATATACTTATAAAATGTTTAGATATTCAGAAAAGAATATTATTATCTATCTAGCAGTATAAAAATGACTTATTTTCTATGTCTTTATTTACATGATTCGAACAGTAAAGTTTTCTTTGTATTGTTTGTTTGTTGAATTTCGCACAAAGCTACTCGAGGGTTATCTGCGCTAATTTTGAAGTGATAGACTAGGGTGAAAGCAGATAGTAAACACCACCCTCCGCCAATTTTTGCACTATTCTCTACCGACGAATAGTAGGACTGACCGTAACATTTTAACGCTCTCACGGCTAAAAGGGCGAACATACTAGGAGATAGAATTCGAACCTGTGACCAGCAGATTGCGAGTCAAGTGTCTTAACCATCAGGCTTTGCTAGGCCTGTTTCCTTTGCTACTCGTAATGGGAATAATGTTTCCTATAAAATTATTAACCCTTAAATTATTTTGCTATAATGAACGTAGCGTGTATATCAGTATGTATGTATGTAACCAATACTCCTGCGCCATCTATTGAATTGTACCACAAACACTTTGGGTGTTCAAGAAAAATAACCATGATATATGCAACAACCATTTCTTTATAACAGAACGCAATTTTAAATAAAAGTACACTCCTCACGACAAGAACACGACTTTCACTAGAACTGTACGAGAGGGTTTGATTATATTTTTATTGATGTCATTTTTAAATGCAGTACTGAGAAAGTGGAGTTTTAAAAACTATTATTTTTTCAATAAGCGGTATCACTTTCAATATATAGAAACATTACACTGCACATGAGCCTCCCCCAGTGGCACAGCGGCATATCTGCGGACTAACAACTCTAGAAATAGGATTTCGATACCCGTTGTGGGCGGAGCACAGAGAGCGCATTGTGCAGTTTGTGCTTAACTACAAACAAACAAACAATTTATATGGGTAAAATTTATTAAAATTTTGAGCTCTGTACCTTGAATCATTTTGATGCAATGAGTTGAGTATAAATAAAGAGTAAAATTCGAACACTTTTACCGTGCAGTATTTCCTAGAAAAAAAAATTTTGAAAATGTCCACTTTTTCTAATTTTTCTCAATGAGGTATGAATACTACAGTAAA